GATTGAAATCGGTTCAAGCTTAAGAGTCCATAGCGGACAAACAACGTGACGCGTAATTTATACATATTATATATATATATTCTATCCTTCGCTCGCTATATTATTTTTGTGCCGAATCAGGGCGTTGGCGTGTAATATATTAAAATGTGTTCTGTAAAATTGTCCTTTTAATACAATTTAGTTTGTAAAATTATCCACAAGTAAAATTTCATAAACATTATATTTAATTAGCTTCAATAATAAATCATTGTTTCTTGTGTCATAATTTTACACATTTTATGACGTACACTGATCACCTCCTTGGGTTAGTTGGCATTCAGGCCCAAGGTTGGATATACGGAATTGAAAAATGGTTATTGCAACTTTTCAATACTTCCAGTTATCAGTTACCAGGCGATTGTCATAGGGGAGATCCCCAATAGAAGATATAGTGGGGAATTATAGGTATGTAGCAACTGACTTATTACAAACAAATAACACACACAGACAGTGAGACATACATAACATTTATTTCTAATAAAACACACAAAATAATAATCAAAAAAGAAAAATGGCAAAAATTATGAAAAAAAAAGGGAACAAGCTAAATTTTAAGTGTGTAATTTGTGTGTGTGTGTGTTGTGGTTGTAACTGGCCCTGGTTCAGCATTATGCTGTGGAGCAGACGTGATCATTCTGCTAGAGACCACAACAGTTAGTTTGCGCCTGAAAAATGTATTACTATTCTTTTATATAACAAGCGGCAAACGGGCAGGATCATCTGATGTTAAGTGATACCACCGCCCATGGGCACTCTTATTGCCAGAGGGCAGTAAGGGTACGCTCTTTTCTTGAAGTACCCTAAGTCGAATTGGTTCAGAAATACTTCAGTATGCAGGTTAAAATATATCTCTATATATATAAAATTCTCGTGTCACTATGTTCGTTCCCATACTCCTCCGAAAAGGCTCGACCGACTCTTATGAATTTTTTTATGTATATTCAGTAAGTCTGAGAATCGGCAACTATCTTTCAAACCCCTAAGTGATAAGTGGTGTCCACCCCAAAAATACATTATTGTATAGTATTAGTATTTTTTTGGTTTTTATTTTTTTTGATACAACATACAAAAATACATATTAATTTTCAACCCTCTACGATCAACCCCTTTTTTTATTATTGTAGATAGTTATTTATATTGAACTAAAAAAATGTTTCCTAGAAATAATACCACGTATACATGGCAAGACAAACGTTTGCCGGGTTTAGCAATAAAAATTAATTTTGAAAAGTCAATTATAAAAAACTGGCCCGATATGCGTCCCCTGGTGACACCGTCGAACATAGTTCATGTAAAACTGACGTCACACCTACGTCAAATGTTACGTACGACGTCGAGAATTCCATTGTTTCCACGCTTAGGACTGAAACACATCAGCGACAACTCGCCCTATAGTGAATCATTTCCTTTCGCTATTAATGGACTTGTTATAAAATCTAATAACTTGAACACTTGTAGATTAATCTCTCAAGTTTCTCAATTAATTTTAAAATGGCAGAAGCATATCTTAATATGTAAAAAGGCTAGATGGTTCGATCAATAATAAGGGAACTGCTGGATGTTTATAGGAATTACTCTCCTTCTTCTTCAGTCGCACTCTTCTTTTTTTATGTAATAGGAGGCATCGGGGAGGAGGCTCATCTGATCTTAAGTGATACCGCCACCCATGAACACTCATATTGCCAGAGGTCTCGTAAGTGCGTTGCCGGTCTTTCAAGAACGCTCTTTTCTTGAAGGACCCTAAGTCGAATTGATTCGGAAAGCCTTCATTTCTGAAGTCTTGTTAGTGGCGACACACAACTTCCTCCACTCTCCCCTGGTTTCGACAAGCCTCTACGCCTGGGTAATAAGACCCGTAATGGCCTTTACTTGCTGGTCCAGCGAGTAGGGGAGTAGACGGGTATATAAGCTAAGTATTTCGTAGAATATAGCTTTATGTATGATGTGGTCAACTGCAATAAATAAACCATATTATGCACGTTTCATTTTAAAACATGCCAGTTGAAGGCTTTGATTGGACAACAGCATCACTAGTCTGTGGACATCATTTGACCCATCACAAAAGCAAGGTTTGGTGTTTCGTCTGTCATGTCTCTCTATCTCCATAGTTGTTTATTTAGATCAGACAAGACTCCCACGTTTACAATATTCAACGACATATTTCCAAGAAGTGTCGTTTCCGGCGCCAGGTTTCATGTAAATTAGAAAAGTTACTCGCTGTGTGGCGTTATGTGGTAGGTTGAGTATTATGTTGCAAATTAATTATAATTGTAATAAGTTGGTCCTTGTGGCAGTGTTACTTCGTTGTATTAGCAAGGAAAGCACCAGCTTTGGGGTCACCTGCATGGGCCAATTATGACTCTTATTCCCCCGGGAGGAAACCAGATAATGAAAAATTTTAAAATTTAAAATTTTTTTTCAATCCCCCCGGGAAAGGCTCGACCGACTCTTATAAAAATTTTTTTATGTATAGTTCAGTAAGTCTGAGGAATCGGCAACTATCTTTCAAACCCCTAAGTGATAAGTGGTGTCCACCCCAAAAATACATTATTGTATAGTATTAGTATTTTTTGGTTTTTATTTTTTTGATACAACATACAAAAATACATATTAATTTTCAACCCTTACGATCAACCCCTTTTTTTATTATTGTAGATAGTTATTTATATTGAACTAAAAAAATGTTTCTAGAAAGCACCAGCTTTGGGGTCACCTGCATCAGGGGCCAACTTAAATTTTCAGTTAGCGCCTGTACATTTAAACCCCACGGCTTAAGTCTCTACTCCAAAGGGAGCAATCGAAATTGGAATTTATGTTAACTAAATAGGCCAATCAAAAGTTAATATGGAAAGTAAATACTAATTTTTATACTTCGTGTTTAACTTCAATCTAGAGACTTGAACGTGTGTTTTTTGGTTTAATTTTTTTTCTCTTCGTGTCAAGTCAAATCATTTATTTCAATAAGGCCTATTAAAAAGGCACTTTTGAAAGTCGAAATTATAAGTTAGAAATATGTAAAAAAATACTCTAGTTGTCCCTTCCAAAAGGTAGTTTCATGTGCAGAAGAATGTGTGTTACTCTTTTAAAATACTTTTTACAATATTTTGTGTACATTTGATATTATATATGTTTGTTATTTTTGCCCATAAGTGCTTGTCACATTAAATCTTGTATTTTATTTTTCTCATACCAATGTATCAGTGTGCCAAGCGTTTTTTTAAATAAATATTTTTTTTGTATAAAAATGTCTATGTAAAAAGACCTTCTCGTTGATTTTATATAATATCACCTAAATAGTGGCTTCAGCATACGTCTCTCATCCAGGTTCGATTCCCGGTTACACCAATGGACTTTCTAAGTGCGCAGTTAACACTCCCTCGTAAGATGAATCCCTCCATCGTGAGGCAGGCGTGTCTTAGACCACGGAAGTCGGCGTATGTCAGGCACCTTGACCTTGCCTGTTAACAAAAACAAATGATCACGAAATTGATACCAAAATCCCATACTTTAATGGGTTGTAGCGCCACTGGATTTGGTTCGCAATTAACCGGTAGAGTATTACTAGTCGTAGAATAAAATTATTTATTATTGCCTAATATATACCACTTAGGGGTTTAACCTTGGCCACAGTAAAAAAAATTAATTCCTTCTAAACTAAAAAAAAGGGGCACATGTCAGAAGTGAAACTTCTTTGTAAATTAATTATTACTAAGGTAAAAGCCCCAAAAGATGATCATGTACCAGTATATTATGATCTCTCCATTTATTTGTAACCTATATGAATATAGATATACAAATAAAAAATGAAAATTTACTTTTAAAATTATATTTTCGTATATTTCGTTCGCCCTTTCTCACTCTCAATCGCTCTCTCCCTTTTCTTCGACAAAAACGCTGCACATCTTCGTGACGCTAAGTAAAAGTTTTACCCTCACTTCAAAAAACAATGTGTGATATAGATAACATACTGGTCCTAGATGGACCTATTTGACACGCGTGAAGGTGGAATTCTAAAAATCTCCGGTGTCGTGTATCCGACATCACAGAATATAACGATATGAGGAAATTGCCGTAAGTCGAGACCTCTCGTTACGACTAACCGATCGCAATAGGATCCTCGCCTTAGGTGGCTTCTTAGATCTCGCGTTTGTGGAATATAAGGCGCCATTGAGTTTCCGATAACATGATAAAACCATGAATTTATTAAGTAATATATCACATAGAAACAAAAGAGTATCGAACGCAATGGTTTTGCGTCATAGATTAGGGCAGGTTGTTGTTATTTCGCGCGTGAATTTTGAAATTTGAAAATAGAACGTACAGCACAGAACATTAAAGTTGTTGGTTGTCTTTGGAATGTAATAAAATCTTCGTACAGAGTATCTTTTGATGTGATTTAGTTTTCAAGTAACAGACTCAAGTAAATCACAGGTAAAATAGAACATTTGTAATAGAAAATTGTGTTTAAGATACGATATCTATTTTTGCTCATAATGCTCGTAATAGGTTTATTGTCCCGCTCTCAACCTTATTTATTTAAAAGACACTTAACAACTCTAAAATGCTTACTTTGCACGTATGGTCCAGTCTCCAGCCTTGATTCTGTAACTCACTATTCGAACTCACACTCTTATTTCGCATTATTATAACACTTATAAATGCCAAATCTTAAAATGACTGCTTACGACTGATTTGAAGCGACCGTCGATGCAAAACCGGCTGTGAGTCCAATTCCAGTATACTTTTCATTTTCTTGAACTCCTTGAGTTTGAGAAATTGTACAATCTCTATTAGGAAACATAGCAAAATGTTCCATATGTTGGTATGTAGCTACTAAAAAGGTAGGCTAATAAAAAAATATTAAGGCGAAACGAAGTTTCAAAAATGGGGCAGTTTTAAATACAATTTATTATAATCATTAACATACTGACGCAAACATTCAATTATTCGTTATTTTCAGTATGATGGACTCAGGAGGAGCAGGAATCGAGTCTCCGCCCACCTACCATCGAAGCTACGAGCAGTACGTCCAAGGTGCCGTCGACACGAGCGCAGACTCACCCCAGGAGCAGACCAGCCCAGAACTTGTTGTCTGGTCGACTCTCCCCTACGGCATAGACTACAGAACACAGTATGACTACAGAAATCCATATGAGTCCAGAGACTTTTCCACTCAGCAGTTCGCAAGAGCACCATTTACAACTAAAATGGGCCAGGCGAAAGCGCTGAAAGAAGCCAGGATAAGGAGACCCATGAATGCCTTTATGGTGTGGGCGAAGGTGGAGCGGAAGAAGCTGGCTGATGAGAATCCAGATCTGCACAACGCTGACCTCAGTAAAATGCTAGGTGAGTTATTTCTATTTTCAAAGATTTTGTGGTTCAAAAAACTAGCTGTATGGACACCGTCCGGTTTCTATATTTATGGAACAGTGAGCAAATGGGCAGGAGGCTCATCTGGTGTTAGATGATACCGTCCATCAACACACAGTGCGCTACCAGCTAAGAATTGGTACGCTCCTTTCTTGAAGGACTAAGTCGAGTTCGTTCAGAAATACTTCAGTGAGATGGGTGGAATTATATTACAAATCTTAGATTTGCGAGCAGTTTAAACATATTTCACAGAAATAATAAACACAGACATTCTGTTTGTGTATAGTATTCAAATTCATGGCCTTAAGATAAAACCAGTGGCGCTGCAACCTTTTAGGTAGGTTAGGTCTTCTAAGTAAGAGATTGATTGAGTCGTATCAGAAATCATAACCATATCAGCAAAGAGTTCTTTAATATAAAACGGCACTACAGCCTTTTTAGGTCTGAGCCTCATATACAATAAAACAAATGATCTCAAAATAGGTACTTCTGTAATCTAAAAGCGAGGTAATTGATCACCATGTGCTTGACACACGCCGTCGATTTTTTGGGTCTAAGGCCGGTTTCCTCACGATGTTTGCCCTCACGAGCAAAAGATAAATGCGGACATAGAAAGACTATTGTCGCACGGGGTTTGAACCTACGACCTCAGTCCAAAGAAGCCACCGTACCTGGTTTTTGACGATACATTTTCATTAATTATTGAAGTGAAACTTCTTTATCGACGTATGGGAGAAATTTTGTAGCAAATCGTCACGTTTTTCGGTTACGCGCCATGTTGCTTTTTGAAGACAAACTTCTTTATCGGCCTTGGAAAAAAATTTACCGTCACATTTTTCGGTTACGCGCCATCTTTTCTTGTCCCTACCACGGTTGATCCGAAGAGATTCGAAGCCATTAATAACAAAAATATATAATAACGATAACAATGATAGTAATAATTCTATTACAATTAATGAAATTCTGTAACAATCTTAGTAATAAGGTAAAATGAAATAATTGTATTTGTATTCATGTCTATGATAATAAAATCCTTTTGTTAAACTTTATCTAATTTAACTTTATTTAACCAATTTCTGTAAAGTTGCATATAGTAGATCATTTTTCGAAAAATAAGGTCATAAAGAAGTTTCACTTCTTACGTGTGTACACCTAGTACACGCACAATTTTTTTAAAATGTAAAATGGAACAAACGAAATGTGCCATGTCGATATAGTCCATTGGTGCAAAGGAATCCACGATCTCAGGGATGAGAGTCGCTTAAACCAGTCTCACAAAGTGCTGTAAGATTATCTACAAAATCTAAACAAATTATAAACATTCATATTACACCCTTCATTTAACAACAGCGAAAAAAATTGTTTTTTCGATTATAACTTGCCTCAAATCTGAAGTTACATCTAACGTGAGTCAGCAGAAAAAAGCAATCTCCAAATTTGAATTTCAAATGATCAAAACGACTTGTTCCTTGGCCGTGTACCTATTCAGTTATTATTAACATAATATTATATAATATTTAAATGTTATGAAGTATTAAGAGTAGTTGTAATTGTGTAAATATTACTGGAATTAGAACCCCGTACTAGACTTACTACGCAATTAAACTTTCCAACGTGATAAGAGTAATATGTATAATATTAAAAGAGATAAATGAGCCATTAACATGTCAAAAGACACATTATACAATCGAATTGACATAACCTAGTGTGAAATGCTCTGTGGACGTGAACCGGCACACGCTTGGCCGTTTTTTAATAATTTAATTAAGTTGTCGCAGCCCTTTACAGAAGCAAGAATGCAATATTGAATTGTACAGCGAATACGGTGTTGTACTTTTGCATATTTTTTGTTTTACATATAAGGTCGATGTGTGATTTATAACTCTAATTAAACTGTATTAATATGTATTGACTGTACTTCTATAGTCTATGGTATTGGTATGCGATGTTTAGCAATTCGTTTCTTTTTTTTAAATATTTCTTTACTTAAATGGAAAATTACTTCGTGTCGATTAATTTGAGGACTTTAATAAACTTCTTATGTTTGTTGCGTGTAATGAAATGGCATGTAGGTTACGACACTTCATTCATTCGGAATAACGTCTATAGTCTATGGGACGGTTATATAATCTTTATCGAATGGTATGTTCTTTTTTAAATATTTCTTTACTCAAGCAGAAAATTACTAGGTGTCGATTTACTTGAGGACTTTAATAAACTTCTTGTTGAAATTTGTAATAAAATGGCATGTGACACGCTGCTTTATTAATTCAGAATAACGTCTATAGTCTATGGGAATAGCTGCATTAGCAAATCGTGTGTTCCTTTTTCAAATTTCATGTTATTTCTATGAATGGGTTAGAGAGTAAATATAGCTTTACTACATTAATGGTAAGATTAAAAACTTTTTCGACTATACGATCCAAAATTTAACCATAAATTTTGTCTAAACGTATTGTTATAATTAGACGTCGACCTTTTAACTTTCTCTGGCAGGGTGTAGAGGACACGAACTCTACGCAATACGTAACTGATACAGTCGCAGAGAAAAGTTTTTTATATAGTAAAAACAGGCAGGAGGCTCATGTGATGTTAAGTGATACCCTTGTACTCAATGTCAGAGGGCTCGCGAGTGCGTTGCCGGCCTTTTAAAATATTTATGGAGTGTTGATTATTTTTTTTGTTATTTGAAGAAATCAGTTAAAAATCACATGCAGATATTTTCTGCAAAATTCGGGTAGTACACAATAAAATCATAATTTTTTTTTTGTTTACAGAACACGTCAAAAAATAAATGAAGTTATTTAAATTATGTCAAAAAAATTAACTAATTAAAAAATTCTTTGTACGGACTAAAGCGAATATAAATTTTGTTTTGAATATTTTTTTACATTCTATAAATCACTGTTTTACTCGACTGTCCTCGTTGATACAATTTTTATTAATAATTATAACGGTCCTCTAATACACGGTTTACACGACTGTACTATTTTGATATGGCAAGTCATTATGCTCCGGCGTGGGTGGCTAGATGCTATCGTGGTTAATGAAATAAAACTCAAATAAAAAGTACTGTAGCCAAGTGTGTACCGACTATTTCCTGTTTATGAATTACCATTTTAATAAGCCCATAGAAGTAGACTACAAAAAATAGGCATAATAATTTTCAAAAATGGAACAATAAGAATCAAGTATTTGAAAATGGAACAGTAATAATCAAATTTTTTTTAAAATGGAGCAATTGATAATCAAATTTTTAAAAATGGACCAAAATGTTATTTTTGAAAATGGAACAATATTGTTTCATATACTAATACATGCGTAATACGAGTTCATGCAAAGTCAAAGAACATAGTGCAGACAAGAAGATCAGTTTTCTGTACACATACCACAAATTTACGTTTTAGCTGATTACACTTATCCTTCACCGTATGAAACTTCAACAGGGAATTTAAACCCTCGGAGGTTACCTCTTTTATAATATAAAACAGTTATATCAAAGTTTTCATAAAATAATAACAGTTATACATATGAAATTAAACTATATTTATATGTAACATACAATAATTTTATCTATAACAGGCTTTGACACGCTACCTTATACGTATGTTTCGTTAAAGGTAATACCCAAAACAGACATTTGTAAAAGTAGAAACATTACATTTAGCGTCACATGTCCACAGATCTTTAAACTTAACCTAATTAAGTTATTATAATAAATTACGTATGTTATACAGAAGAAAGCACCCAAAATCCTTCTAAAACTGTATAGTAATGCCCCTTTTTTTCGTTTAACGCGATTTACGTCCCAGTATAACGCCGTATTTCCCCCCTATAACGCGGAGATTTATTGAGTTATATTTCTGTAGTGTGAAGTTTTGCGTACCTTTGCACCTGTTTTAATTGTGTGTATCATAAACTAAATTACTTTATTAAATTCGTGTTCCTGGTTTTTTGATTGTTCAAAATAACGGTTTCCTCTTATAACGCTGGGTCTACCGCGTTATTGTAGTATTATACATATATAGAGCAGTGTTGGTCTAGTGGTTTAAGAGTGCGATCCTCATCCCTGAGTGCGTGCCTTCGAATCACTGCTGTGTAATACTGGAATTGTCCATATGCGCAATACTTGATCCTACGGTGAGGCCAAACACTTTGAGGAAACCTGCATGTCTTGAACTCAAATCGATGAAATGTGTCAGACACAGTCTTGTCTATGAAATAAAAATGATCAAAGAAACGGATGCAATCTGAAGCCAAGATCCATTTAGGGTTGTTGCCACTTGATTATTATTGTCACTCAGGGCTTTTGTAGAAGTCTGTAAATTTTTAAATTTGGTCCAGTATTTTTGTGTTTATTCGTTACGTAAAAAACTTTCCTCTTTATAATAATAGATAATCACGTGACATTACCTTTATTCAAAGCTAAGTTTAATAATCAATACAAAATGAGTCACGTTATTTAATAATAACTTAATTGTAAATAGAGCTGGGTTTTCCCGTCTTTTAATCAAATTTATTCCTTTTTATGTCTTATCTATGGTTTGTGGTTGTATAGAAAATAATATATAAAATATATAATGCCTAAAAACATACATTCCTAGTAACACTGGAATAACGTTCCATATAACAATCTAATATTCTAAATTTTAGGGGCCGTTCAAGTATTACGTAAGCACAGGGGATCTTTGATTTTCTTATTGGGTGATTAAGTCAACAGTAATTATTTACTTTTTATACACATTACCCACACAATGTCTATGCTTTAAAAACGAAATGCATTTTCGAGAATTCCTACAAAAAATTAACACCTTTATGTACTATTAGTTTTGAGAGCTTTGCTGACAAGAGGAGGAGGAGGGGGATAAATTGCAATTAATCTGCTTACGTAATACATGAACGGCCCCTTATTCCTGGCTCAAAACAATTATTGGATCTATTGCCTTTATGGCTTTACACTGTTATATATACAAAACTATGTATTAATACCAATATTTGTTAGACTATATAATAATCGAAGACAATTCCAGTATTTTTTCATTCCTTAAGCTCTGAGGAAGCTTTTTAATCTAGCCTACAAGTGTAAAATATTCAAAGC